AATAAAATAATAAAAAATAACAAATTTTTCATTAAATTAGAAAGGATCATTTTGTTTTCACAGTTTTTATTCTATTTTCATAATAAAACACTGTGGCCCCAGGAAAAATTTTTTTCTAGTGTGGCAGTCAATGTGTTAAGAGGAAGCATCCAGAACAGTGTTTCTCAATCTTTTTATCATTATTTCCCCTCCCCACCATGAATTTAAATACCATATATGTACTGCATATGTGTGTATATTCTGTAGCCCTTTGTCCTACAAACCATTGTAGGATCGAAGATTTTTTGTTTCTCCAAAATCAATTTTGGCCTTCTTAAGAATCACCCTGTTAAGAATGCATTCTCTACACAGTTTTAAATAAAGAAGTAACATGATTAGATATGCATCATAAAAAATACAACTCTAATAAAAAAGAGAATGATTTAGAACAAGGAAATATTGGGTTATAAGGAAACCAATTAGAAATCTGAATGATTCAGATGAGAGATGACAATGTCCAAGACAAGGGTAGTAGCAGGGAGAATGGACAGATGTGGAAAGCTAATAGGTGCATATCATACAAATAAATATCCTTCAATTGTAGACTTTAATGATTTGGAATGAGATGGAACTATGAACCTACTCAGGGAAAACAATGGGACATTGATGTCCATAACCATTATCTGTTATGGCACCAAGGGAAACAAATAAAAAATATACAAGTACTACACACACATAAAACAAAACCAATAAAGAGATCAAGGAATTAAAAAGAAAGCAACCCTGCTGGAAGGTTCACAGGTGATCATTTTAGATATTATGCTCTATGATTGCATAGATTCTTTCACGCAAATATTTCACAAAAATGGAATATATAAAATGATCACATTTATGTAATTATATAAGCTAAATACATTGTATGAAAATTAATAAAAAGTAGATTGCTTTTAAGAAGGAAGAAACAGCCAATTTGAGTCATCCTCATGGCCTTCTTCTACCTAGAAAATCTTGAGGTATTCCTCTCCCCTCTGAAAAACCAACACAAAAGTAGAATTTGGTTAGAGAAGGTGAAAGAGACTTGAAAATTAGAGTCAAACAAATGTTTTCTAATTATTCAAAAAGAGGACAATGTTAGAACCTGAAATACAAGTCTTATAAGACCGAGAAAGAGTAGAGAGAAACAGCATTCCCGGCAGGAAAAAACTGTAAGAAAAAAAGGCATTTTCAAGAATGAATAAGAAGATATACTAAATGTTCTGGCTTTTTACTCATAAACATATTTAAGTCATGTTGGATAAACAGAATAATTATTGAAAATATTCAAATGATAACCAAAAAAGTTTTATTTAAAGTAGAGACTGAACCAGTACAAAGCATGACTATATTATTGCCATATTTGCATATATTTATTTTTGGGCACTACACACACATACCAAAGGGAAAAAAAACTGTTAAAAAGGTGGACAAACGACATCAACAAGTGTGGGGTTCTTACCTTCTTTGGATTAAGGTTTCAGAGAGCCAACACATACATAGATTCTACCAATTGAACTTTGGGTGTGACCCTAATTGTGTTCTATGTTATGTCAGAGCAGAGATCCACTCCTGAAAGTCTGATCTGGCAAGGTCTTGACTTAGTAAAAGCTTCCAGGTGATTTTGGTGCAATTTCATTGTGAGAACCACATCAGAATAAAATGATCAGTCTCACCTAGAGGTTTAACCTGGTATTTCTTGTACCAGGCACTCGAAGTCTGGAGGCAGCAGCTTCTCCACCACCCATGGCTGTTTTTCACCAATACCTAAGTAGTAGAATAAGAGGGTGATGCCTCTCCAGGCTAGCTGGAAACTTCCATACAGCCACAGCGATCTAGAGTCCCAGCTTGGAAGGCAGGGTGATATGACAGAGGCCCCATCCCCTGTGTAAAGTACCAATGTTACTTACTCAGATTCAGTAAACCTCAACTATCCTCACCACATGTGTTTGAGCGTTCATAACTCAAGTACTTACCACAAGTTGACAAAGTTGATGAAACTTGGGGAGAATTCCCTTTCCTCAGAATTACTCAGCTGTGGAGGATCTCCTTTCACGACCTGTGTTAGTTGATCAAATACACTATTCCACTTTGGATAAGGAAATCGGCCTGTGGCCAACTCATACTAAAGAGAACAAAGAGAAAAAAGCAAAATACACTAGGTATTATTTACCACTCCCCACTAGAATTGCCATGATAAAAATCTAAACTCCAAGTAAAACTCTTATAAAAGCCTTGAATAGAACCCAGATTAGGCTGGGGTGGAATCTTCAGAATCATGAAAGCTAAGGAGAGGTTATATTTAGAAATCAAGACAATATAGAGAATTCTGTATCAACCAAATTCAAGGACTTAGACTTAGGGAAACACCAAACTTAAGCCTAGACTGTGTCCCAATGCATGTTCCAAGGGATCCTCTGCTTCTGACTCTTCTGTATAAGAGACTCTGGAAGGCTGATTTTAGAACTTCTTTAGTAGAGTATGCAAAGTTTGCCATCTGAATGGAAGGCCAAGGTCCAAAACAGTGGTCGAATTCCTTTGTAAGGTAAAAGAAGATTTAACAAGAAAAGCCCAACCTGAGCTTGGAGGAAACACTGTGAGAATCCTGTTCTATAGCAATTCTGTAGTTGCTACAATTTCAACCGCAATCGGATTTTACTATCACTGAAGAAATCAAGTCAGGGTCAAACCCTTCATCCCGAGCCCTCTGACAGCACCTCTAAACCATATCAAAATAGAGCTGAATGTACACATTAATATATCCCAATCTTTCAAGGGTCAAAAATGCTTGCTAATAATCAGTAAATCATATTCTCACCTTTCTCCCACTCTGTTCTGAAAACAATGAAAACCCAGAAATTGTGCTTTTTCCAAGAAATATATCTATATCTGTACCACGGCATAAAGAATTCTATTTTATATGCCCTGACAAGTGACTGATATATGAAGATGAGGCTCCAAACTTATTTCAGAGGAAGCTGGCATTCAGGAGGAGAAAGAGCACTATCTCAGAAGACTGATTCAGAGTGTCCTCCCCAAAAGATGCCTCTGTCAGCTCACTGCTCTTTCCAATCACACACGTGGTGTGCACAAAAGCAAGCAAGCATGCATGAGCACACATACACAGAAATTCATCACTTTGGCTGAGGTTTCTTTTTGTTAAAATTATCAATGTTTTGAAAGAAGTAAACCTTATTGATTATTCACAGCATGAGGAATAACTATATTAGATTCAATCTTGAGAATCGGTTTTAATAATAATAAGAGAAGGAAAAAGTTGGCTACACATGGTAAAGTGAAGGACTTAGGATCTTAGAAACAAATTTCATCATTTTTATAAGATTATCGGTATGAAAAACAAATTATGAAACAATTGTAAGTACTAAATACCTTCCTTTTCAACAAAGTTTAGCTAAAGGTACTTAAAGAAACTTGCTAAAAAAAATTTCTATGTTAAAACCGTTCACAAAACAAAATTTTGTTTTTGTAAGGAAGTATACACTTGCTTTGGAAACATATTAATAATTGGTTTGGTCACAGATGGGTATTTCTGAATCATAAACATCTCATATGCAAACAGTTGCCTCAGCTGGAAGCTTTAGGTCTTGCTGCAATCCTTGCAACCAGTCGCCAGACCTAAAAGATGCCCCAAGATCCATTTTCTCTTCTGACTAAAGAAAGAATCCCTTCTTTAGCTGGTTGGCTTCACAATGAGAAAAGACTCCAGGAGGTCTCTCTTATATTTGGTGACAAGGAAAAGTAGATGGAGTTTTTTGCAGAGGTGAGCTATTAGCCTTCAACTCTCTATACAGAGAACCCATTAGGCCCGGCGATGGGACACATCAAGAAAAACTAACAAGGGTATGTGATTCTGATCACAGGAAAAGGACCCTCAAACTATATATATGCCAATGAACAAATGGAGATTATTTAGTAACCTACAAAAAGGTTCACTGCTCTGAATCTGTGTATCTCTGGGCTGCAGGGTCTTGGTCAGCATAAAAGGAAAATGGAAGGAAAAGGTTTGGGCTGTTTATGTAACAGGACAGCCCCATCTAGGGGTAGAAAATTCACATCCAATGTAGAAGAAGCTATAGAAGCTATCCCAAATCAGAAAAATCTCAGCAAGCCCTGGCAGAACAGCAAGCACAAGAAAATAAACCTAAAATTTCAAAATAAAATTTGGTAAAAAGGAAATAAGCAAATAAAGATACTACTACAGAATGAATGTTTGTGTCTCCCCAAAACTCCTATGTTGAAACCTAATCCCCAGTGTGATGGTATACGGAGGTGGGGCCTTCGGGAAGATTAGGTCATGAGGGGAGAGCCCTCAGGAATGGGGTTAGTGTCCTTCAAAAGAGAACCCAGCCAGCTTCCTTGCCCCTTATCCCATGTGAGGATATAACAAGAAGACAGCCTTCTACAAACCAGGAAGTGAGTCCTCACTAGACCCTGAATCCACTGGCATCTTGATCTTAGACTCCTCAACCTCCAGAATTGTGAGAAATAAATTTTTCTTCTTGGTAAAAGCTGCAAAGTTTGTAGTACTTTGTTAGAGCAATCTGAACGAAGATAGTTAATTTTTAAATGAAACCAAAATTTCAATACATTCCATAGGTAAGAAAGAAGAGTTCATTTAATTGTGCTTGCTTGTTGGAAACTAAGTAGCTTTCTTACTATTCTTTCTCAGTGTTCTTCTAAGGCAAAACTTTCATTTAGAACCATCACTTAGTTCTTATCTCTCAACAACTGAAGTACTTTCAGCTCATCCACTTGTAACTTTTCTATTCAGTGAAGAGATTCCAAGTAGAAATTATTTTCCATATATATAAATATGTATACTTAATATATGCACTATATGCAGTACTACAGGACATGCTGCACCTTGCTTGAGACAGGAGGAGCTTAATGTGCCTTCATCATTGAATTGACTGTAGGTGAGCTATACTCTCCCCTGTTCCCATTCTTAGTGCAGTTGCTGAGTCCTATTATCTGCGGGCAAGAGACCCATCTACAACACTGAAGAGCCCTAGATACTTCACAAAACCTTGAGGGAAATAGTCAACTCTGATTTGACTTTCAAGGTAAATACATACTTTTTCTTTCAATAATTAAAAACTATAGTCCCCATAATTATAGCCATGGTGGGAAAAAAAAAAATTAAGTGAACAAAATCTCAAACTACAAAAGAAGCAGTTCTTATGAGGAATGGAAGTCTAATTAAATTTTCTTTCATTTCTAAATTCCTTCTTATTACACTATTATAACAAAGTTGAATCAACATAAACATACCAATGTGATCCCCAAACTCCAGACATCAGAGCGGACATCATATCCTTGTCGAGATGCACTTGGGTCTATTCTTTCAGGCTAGAACACAAAAAGAAATGACAGTCATGAATCATGCTTACCCTCAAGGAACAGGCACATGGAAGGAACAGCTGGTAGGCTGCCAAAATGCCAGCATATTTCTAGAGGAATCCATGTCTAGGGTCAAACTGGGAGTAATAGGAAGCCATCACTATATTAAAAAACAAACAACAACAAAACTCAGTGACTACTTCCACAAAGGAAACACAAAGCAACTCTTCTCATTTTTACCCCTAAGGACTCACAAGCATTTACAAAGCTGAAACTGAGAACAAAGAGAGGAAGAGAAAGTGACAACATTGGAAAAATGGAAAAAAATAAAGAACAGATTAGCAGCAATTAGTGGTAAGCAGAAAAGAAAAAAGACTAGGTCTTCAGATTTTACCAGTCTTTATTTCTTTATTTCAGTGGATAAAGTTATACCACAAAAACGAGACAAAAAAGCAAAATATGAACTAAATTTATTATAATTATCTACCCATTCTTCACAATAAAGCTAAATTTATCACAATACATATCTTTGAAGATATTTGTCTATTAGTCTTTTGTAGCCAAAATATGAGTAAACCTAATCCAGCAATATGTTAATTAATTAAAGCACTACCAATACAGTAATATATTATCCTATCATACGTACAGCAAAAGTCATTTTCAGTAATTTCTGTGAAGAGAGTTTCTTTACATTTCCTTGAAATTAGGGACCATCATTTTACTGGGTGTGTCAGGGATGGAGAAGAAAAGAGACAGAGGGTATCAGTGGCACAGAGTTGACAGTGCATCCTTTGCTATGGCTGAGTGACTGCTGTTGAAAGAAATGGCCAGAGAAGTATAACAGTCGACTATATTACATTCTCTGCCTGTCAGCAACAATTAGTTTGGAGAACTACGTATTTTGTTTTGAACATGAGTACTGTGCTGCATAAATATTCATTGGAAACTATGTACATTGCTTTTAGCTGCAAATATATTTATTTGCCAGATAAGATATACATTATATAAAAAGTCCCAGATATTTAACCAAGAGAGAAAATACTCCATCCAACATCCCGAAACTCACATGGAACATTCACTAAAACTGACCACATTCTGGGCATAGAACATATCTTATTTTATTTTATTTTTATTTATTTATTTATTATTTTATTTTATTTTATTTTTTGAGACACAGTCTCATTCTGTTGCCCAGGCTAAAGTGCCCTGGCGTCAGCCTAGCTCACAGCAACCTCAAACTGCTAGGCTCAAGCAATCCTCCTGTCTCGGCCTCCTGAGTAGCTGGAATTACAGGCGTGTGCCATCACGCCTGGCTAATTTCTTTCTATTTTTAGTATAGACGGGGTCTCACTCTTGCTCAGGCTGGTCTTAGACTCCTAACCTCAAGTGATCCTCCCGCCTTGGCCTCCCGAGTGCTAGGATTACAGGTGTGAGCCACCACACCCAGCCAACATACCTTATTTTAAAAGAATGGCAATCATAAAAAGCATTTTCTCAGATCACAAAATAATTAAATTAGAAAGACTAATGGCCAAGAAACATAGGAAAAAATGTTCAACATCTCTAATCATCAGGGAAATGCAAATCAAAACCACAATGAGATATCAACTCAACTTCAGTGAGAATGGCTTTTACAAAAAAATCCCAAAACAACAAATGTTGGCATGGATGTGGAGAGATAGGAACACTCATCAACTGTTGGAGGGACTGCAAACTAGTACAACCTCTACAGAAAGTACTATGAAGATACCTCAAAGAACTAAAAGTAGAACTACCATTTGATTCAGCAACCCCACTACTGGGTATTTACCCAAAGGAGAAAAAGACATTCTATAAAAAAGGCACTGGCACTCGATTGTTTATAGCAGCACAATTCACAATTGCAAAGATGTGGAAACAACCGAAGTGCCCATCAATACATGAGTGGATTAATAAAATGTAGTATATATATACCATGGAGTACTACTCAGCCATAAAAAAATGGTGAACTAATACCTCTTGTATTAACCTGAAACTGGAACTAAGTGAAGTATCACAAGAATGGAAAAACAAACACCACACGTACTCGCCATTAAGTTGGTACTAATCAATCAAAACTTACATGCACACATGGAAGTAACATTCATGAGGTGTTGGGCAGGTGGAAGGGGGAAGGACGGAATGGGTAAACTCACATCTAACTGGGTGGGGTGCGTGCTGTCTGGGAGATGGGCACACTTGTAGCTCTGACTCGAGCAATCCAAAGGCAATTTATGTAACCAAAGCATTTGTATCCTCCTAATATTCTGAAATTAAAAAAAACAAAACCTTCCCACAAATAAAAGTCTAGACCCAGATGGGTTCACTGGTGATCTCTCCTTAACATGCAAGAAAGAAATAACACCAGTATAACAAAGTATTTTTCCAAAAAACAGAGAAAGAGGATAGGCCCCCCAACTCATTTTATGGGGCCAGCATAACCATTTATGAAAACCTGACAATGACATTATGAGATAATTAATATTCTTCATACACAAAGACACAAAAATCACTAACAAAATGAGGAAATCTAATCCAGCAATACATGAAGAGGTAATATAAAATAGCCAAATGGAGTTTATTTCAGTAATACAATGCTAGCTTGAACTTGAAAATCAATGTAATGTGCCATATTTATAGAATAATAGAGTAAAATCATATGATCATCTCAATAGATACAGAACTGGCATTTGACAAAATTCAAAATCCATTAATAACAACAGCAATAATAATAAAAACTCTTAGCACACTAAGAAGGAAACATCTCCATTTCATAAAGGACATTTAAAATAACCTAGAGCTAACATCATACTTATTAGTGAAATATAAAACACTTGCTTTCTAAATAATATTGGAAACAAGGCAAAGATGTCTACTCTCATGACTTCTATTCAGCATTATATACAATGTCCTAGCCAGCAGAAAAAGGCAAGGAAAAAGAAAGTATCACCTTTATTCACAGACACTTGAATTTCTACAACTACCTACATAGAAAATTCCTACTAAAACAAATAGTGAAACTGAAATAGCAAGGTCTCAGGAAACTACGTCAACATATGCAAGTCAGTTGTATTTCTGTATAATAGCAAAATACTGAAAAATATTTTTGCCCTTCACAATAGTATCAAAAACATGAATTCCTTACAAATAAATTTAAAAGGGGCTCAAAAGCTCCACACTGAAAACTATTAATACAAAACATTGTTGAGAAATAGCAAGAAGACCTAAATGTATGGAGAAACATACCAGATAGAGTGTACTGAAAAATTCAGTATTGTCACAATATCCACAGGTGAATGGATAAACTGTTGAATATAACTAATAATACAGATGTTTTCTGGTATTTCATTTTTTAATCGATCATTTATCATGCCACAAAGAAAATCTCAGTATGTTCCAAAAGGCAAAACTGTACAGGCTAAAATGCTCTGAAAGCATAGTAAGCCAAAAGTGACTTGAGCCCAGGAGTTCAAGGCTGCAGGGAGCAATGATCACACTACCACACTCCAGCCTGGGTGACAGAGCAAGACCCTGTCTCCTAAAAAAAAAAAAAAATCACGGGAGAGAGTTCAAGGGAGAAAGGAAAAGACTCTGAGGTGGGAATATCCTCCATATGTCTGTGGAACAGCAACGTCAATGTGGTGGCTGGAGCTGAGCCAACTGAGGGGGGAAGAAGAATGAGAGCACATCAGAAAGATGGCAAAGGGCTGCATTAGAGCCTTATAGGCTGATGCGAAGGACTCTTGGGATGAGTTTGAAGCACAGGAGCCACATGGCCTGACCCAATGCTTTGAAAGGTTTGGCTACTGCACCGAGAACCCATTATAGCAGAGCAAGGGAATAACAAATCTGGAGACTAAAGCAATGGGTAGGTGAGAAAGACCAGTGGCTGGACCAATGAACACTGTGGTTTTAAAATGAGGATGGGTTCTAGATACACTTTCAAAGTAAAAGGGACAGTATTTGTTAATGAGGCAGGTGTAGAGTACAGAAAATACAAAGGAATGAGGGATGACTCCAGTTTGTGTCCTGAACAAGCAGACAGAGGGAGTTGCTAGTTACTGAAATACACAAGAACTGAGGAGAAGGTGGCAGCTCACAGATTTTGGTGGAGAAGAAATGGGTGACGGGAGATCAAGTTCTATACCAGACATGCTTTGTTGGAATTTCTAAGAGACTCTATGAGGAGGACATGAAATAGGATCTAACAAATGATTTTGGAGTTTACAGGTGAGGTGTGGGGAGGAAAGAAAAAGCAGGGAATCATCAGCATTCATCATTTTCCTGAGCATCTAACAAGTGGCTGGTACTGCACATCCCTGCACACAAGAAACAAATAATATTTAAATCCTTCAGATGAACTCATTAAAGGAATTTCAGTAGTTAAGGGAAGAAAAGAGCTTCAATACTCAGCCCTGGGGTACAACAATATGAAGAGATCAGGAAGATGAGGAGGATCCAGGGAACCAGGGGAGAAGGACCAGCCAGTGAAAAGCAGCCAAGAGAGGGCAATATCCTGGAAGCCAACTGATGAAAGTGTTTCAGGAATATAGTATTTCAAATATTACAGGAAGATTAAGGAAGATGAGTCAGAACTGACCACTGGCTTTGGCAACATGAAAGATAATGTTCGCGTTGATAGTAACAGCCAAAATGGAGTGATGGCACTAAAAGAATGCATTAGGATGGGTCTAAGAAAATGAACGAAGAAAAAGCAAAGACAGCAGGTGTACACAGATAGTTAGTGCTGACAATAAATTTGGCCATCACATTTACGAAATGTGTATGGTCTATATGAAGGAAAAATTTCCAAGAAGCATTAACGCAACGTGGATGAATGGAGAGAAATACCATGTTTTTTCATTGAGAATACTATTATAAGACAGCAATCATCAAATTAATTTATAAGTTTAATGAAATGCCAGTGAAATTCCAGCTAAACTTCATGATACTAATATTCATTTGAAAAATACAGAAAGATAACAGCAACA